TATATATTGTGATAGATTATGAAAAATATTTTATCTGGGCATAATTTTTATTTAAAATACTTAATACTTGTATATTACATAATTATTATATGTATATGAAAATGATTGTTTAATTAACTACAGACAAAACTAAATAAGAAAATTAAATAAGATAAAACAATAGTAAGTATTACAAAACAAATAACTAACTTAAAAACAAGAGAACTAATAGAAAGTATAAGGAAAGAAAAACAACAACAAAATCCAAAATGTTTTTTTTTATGAAGAACAACATCAAAATATTAAGAGGTGCTTAATATAAGTCTCGAATATATTACACATCTTTCTCATTACGTGGAATGTAACTAATCAGACATCAACTCTATATATACTTTAATACATATCTTCTTATTTATAATTCTCGGATATTGCTCATGTATTCATCATATACAATGCAGGCTCCATATCACCACCAAGCATAGCGGACCTAGACATGGACATTTACGACAAAGTGATGCGTCTTAACGTGCGAGGCACCGTCTTAGGGATAAAACACGCGGCTCGAGCCATGATCCCTGCTGGCTCAGGATCGATCCTTTGCCTCTCAAGCATCAGCGGCTTGATGGGCGGTCTAGGTCCACATGCATACTCAATCTCTAAATGCACAATCCCGGGTGTGGTCAAGACTGTTGCTAGCGAGTTGTGCAAACACGGCTTAAGGATCAATTGTATATCCCCCGCAGGCATCCCGACGCCTCTAACAATGAGGATGTTTCGAGAAGCCCTAGCGGGTCACAACATTCCTGAGGAACAACTTTTAGCGATTGTGAACGCAACAGGGGAGTTAAAGGGAGAGAAGTGTGAAGAGAAAGATGTAGCTAAGGCAGCTTTGTACTTGGCATCGGATGATGCTAAGTTTGTGACGGGGCATAACCTTGTTGTTGATGGTGGATTTACTTGTTTCAAGTCTCTTAATCTCCCTTTTCCATAGTTTACTCAAGTTAAGTGAAGCCTTTAAAATTAGTTTTCCAAAATTGTCTATTAATAAGAGTTTTTTTGGGGTAACTAGTGATAATATTTTTTGTAATATATAAATTGGATATTATATGGTTGGGATTATGATTTAGGAAGTTATCTTCTCTTTAGATTTTGATAATCTTTTTAGTTTTAGAGTTGATTTTACTATATTGAAACTAAATTTAGGTTGACATGGATATCTTCCTAAACACATAAGTCTATTTAGTCTATCTTTTTGAGAATTAGCGTCCGGAGAGATGACTGTGAGAGGCCAAAAGAAGACCAATTCTCAAAAAGATAGAAGGAATAAGCTTATGTGTTTAGAAAGATATTCTTTGCAAAAAACACACACCGAAAGTTAAGGAGGTAAATAGCTTAAAATAGATATGCTTCAATGTGGAATGCATCAAACTTTTTCTGTAAATACGTACTTGTTCTTATTTCTTTTTAATATCTTAAAACCATCGATTTAATTCTATTATCAAGAATGAAGAAATCCTTCCAGCTCTAGTTCACAGTTTCACTCTTGTGCTAGGTTAGTATATGCACTTAGAATTGCTTTAATATATTATTTTTGAAAAAAAATATTTTGAATAACATAATATTTTTTTTTCAAATTTAATAAGTTTTGTAATTTATGTTAACTCTTTATTAGCTAGATCTAGAAAATTGAGTTACAAATGTTTTTTGCTAGACGTAGAAAATTAATCCCCAAAGATACTTTTAGACTTTCTTTACCTATTATGGCTCTTTGTGTGTAAAACATATATGATCGTAACATATTACGGAAAATTATTCTGATATGGATTGATTCAACATTTTCCCATTGTTTTTTTTTTCTCGCTTCATATCAGGTAGAGAAATGTGGCAAATTATAGTTTTTAATTTCGCTAATATTTGATGTCCTTTAGTTTTTGATGTTAACTTATACGATATTTTTAAATTACATCTACGTAATTCTTTGGGTTAAATGTGAATTTTTTTTTTATGTATTCAATGAATTGTTTTTTAAAATTTATTAATATGGTAAAACTTTTGAAATATCTATTTTTAGGAGATGAAAAATATTATTGTTTCGATTTTCATTATCATAATTGAGATCTTATGTTTTAAGTATAACTAGATTCTCACCCGCACTTTGTGCGGGAACATTCGTTTTTATGTTGTAAACTATAATTTCGAATTGTGTCGTATATAATATGTTCAAAGTGTGATATGTATTGTTTTAGTTTGTAAGTAGAATCGATTATTTTGAAAAAGTATGATTGGTTTTTTTTTAGTTTGAAGGTAGAGAATAANTATGTTAAGTACTGAATTTTATAATGAATAATCATTGTAGTTAGTATACATAAATTATAATATTTAGTTTTGAGCATGTACTTGTATCAATAATTTAGTTTTGTGCATGTATGTATATCTGTTGTATTTACTTATGGAATAAGAATGAATTATAATATGGCCAACGTACTGAATCTCTATGTGATGAAGAAGCAAATCGCGTTGCTTCTTATATAGATGAATATATCTTTAGGGTTAAGGGAAAATATTTTGGCAAATAAATTAGTTATAGAAACGTAATCTGTAGAATAATTGATAAGAGTAAATTTCTTTAAATAAAAGATTTAGAGAAGATCATAACAATTAAGAAATAAGGAAAGATTCATTNAAGTTTAATGATTTTTGCAACGACATTTACTTTTCTTTAAATTTTTTTNAATTTNC